CCCCAAAACCCCAAAACCCCATTGAATAAATTATAAATTTAACAAAATTAAAATTTGACAAAAATTTTAATAAATTTAAATTTGTAAACAATTTTAGAAGAATGGAAAGTTAATCTAAAATTACAAGAACCAAGCTAGTAGAAAATAGTCGATAGAAGTTCTACGAAAATTTGAATCAGCATTATAAGGACAATAAAGATGCGCCAAGCATCTAGGCTCCCCTCACTTAGTCAATTTAGAACCTCAATAAAAAGCCTCCCACTAATCAAAGACTCCCATCAGCTACCAAGAAACCAGTAACTAAAGAGACAAATCCAAAAACAGATACATTTAAGAGATAGGACAGCTAGACTGAAACTATGAAATCTTAAGCTGCCAAATCTGCTGTAGAAAAAAAGGCGCCCAGACCTTAGAGTACCACTAAAAACTCCAGAGCAGCACGAGCTGATTCTAACTCAAGTAGATAGCTGAATAAAGATTTGGCAGGCTTCAGTTAGAACTCCTCAAAGCGAGACTTAAAGCAAGAGGGGCAAGCTAAGGAAAATCTAACAAACAATAAGTTAAATGTGAATATGAATACAAACTAAGATCAAAAGAAGACTGCTCCTAGCTTTTCAACAAAGATGCCATACAGTAATATAGCTGCAAATAAGGATGGAGATTTATCTGCTTCCATATCAATAAATAATGCCACTTAAATAACTAAGAAATCAACTGGGTTCAGAGAGCAGCTAATCGAGCAGATCAAAGAAAATATTGGCAACCCTAAAAAACTGCAAGAGCTTTAACAGAGAAATACTCATCTCAAGGTAGATTTCCAGTAATTGATTCATCAGGCTAAGGTGCAGATCCTGAAAGACAACAAGACTAAGGCAGCAGTTTCAACTGTGGATGAGGAGATCGCCAAGAGAATAGAAAACTCTAGGAAGTTGCTTGCCAGACTCAGAGCAGTCAAGCCGTCTCCACCCTATGCTAACAGTATACTTCAAAGCGCTATTAATAACAAGAGCAGGATTATTGAAGCGCATCTGTCCACTATGAATGATGACATTAAGAAGTACTAGATCAATCAGCTAGATGAGGAGCATGCGAGATCAGCTGTGTTCTATGCTGCCTTTTATGGAAGCGTGGAGGCCATAGAACTCCTAGCAGCTTCAGATGCTAACCTAAATCTTACTGATAAATATCATAGAACTCCTCTTCACTATGCCGCTATGAACGATAACAAGAAGATCATTGAAGCAGTATTTATGGGTTTCAAACAGCAAGGAAAGCCCATTAAAATTCATGGCTAGGTCGATGAAGATTCTAATAGTCCCACTAAGTCAGTGCCCAAAGCGACATTTACTCCCTTCAAGGGATTACATGATAAAATGGATGAAGAGCGAAAGAAGGCAGAAAATCTAAAGTAGCTTTAAAAGCAGTGGGAGGAGGAAGAAAACAAAATGGGTGATGACTTCGAAGACGAGGACAATGGAGGATTTGAAATTGAGGATGACTAGTAGGATTAGTTCAAAGAGTCATTTAAAGTTCAAATTGAGAGTCCAGCCTAAGGCAAGACAGGGAATATGATGAATGGGCTGGGCAATTTCTTTACTTAAAAAGCAGTGTTGGATGTCTAGGATGAGAAAAAGGACACTATGTACGAGGAGATGAATAAAATTGATAAACTGTACATTCCTCAGTCTGAGTTAAAGAAGAAAACACCCAAGAAAAATGATTAGCCCTCTGAAGAAGACGAGTTTATTGGAGTGCCATAGGTATCTTTGAATGGCATAATCAACTTTAGAGACCTAAATGGAAGAACAGCCCTGCATGTAGCGGTTGCCTTCAACAATAAAAATGCAGTTGAAACCCTGTTATTCCTCAATGCTAATCCTTTAATTGAAGATAAATTCGGCTAAAGGCCAGTGGAGTTTGCCTTGGATGATGCCATACGAGATCTACTACAAAATAAAATGATTAGAGCAACTAATCCAGTACTTGTTCCTACTCTGAAAATCAAGCCTCTCAGAGGAAACCCCAATCAAAATTTGAGTATCAAACCTAGAAAAATGAGTCAGGTCTCATCTCAATCAATGCAAAGTTCAGTAATGCGCAAAGATAAAAACTAGGCTACTCTTTAGCAATTCCCATTGGAAATCAAGGATTTAAGAGTAGTCCTTAAGGAGAAAGTCATAATCTCCAAAATAGGCATTGAGAATGATAACTATCTGCAGCATGCCATTAAGAACAAGGGCTTTGAAGCTTGTCTGTATCTCTTGTAGGAAATTGGTGGATTTGAATTCTCTTATAAGAATAGTGTAGGAAATACTGTGTTGCATCTAGCTATCAAAACTAATTAATATCAATATGTAAAGATGCTGTTCGTAAAACAAGTAGAAGATATGTAGAAGCATTTGCAGAGCAACAGACCTGACGACTTATATGGATTGATTAATGAATAGGCGTTAAGGCTATTGGATAAGATTAACAATAAAGGCATGACTCCATTATTGATGGCTGTTGATTAAGGGAATTTCGAGATATTTAGGCTTTTGCTTGAGATCTATTATTACAACGATTCAATAAGCAAACCAGAGTAGAAACTACTGCCTAAAATAATTAATCTAAAAGATGATAAGAGTGATACTTGTCTTTTAAAGGCAGTCAAAAGCAAGCAAACTGAAATGATCTATAGCTTACTCCAACTGGGCAACTCTATAATAAACTATGAGGTACTTTTAGAGACAGATTCTGTGAAGAGGAATATACTTCACTATGCTACCATTAATGCAAACAAGGATATGATTAAGATCTTGGTGAAGCTTGACTCAGACCGAATGGAAATGCGTTTAGCCAACGACTCCAAGAAGAAAACACCTCAGAACTACGATCAGTCCTCCTCAATGACTGAATGCTTCAATACTATCTGGGACTATGCTAAGGAAGGCAATCTTAGAAAGCTGAAGCTGTCTATTGACTCAGGCAAGTTTGAGGTTAATGAACAGACTCCTTGGCGAAAAGACACGCCTCTTCATGTAGCTGTGAGAGTCCAGCAGCTCGAAGTGATTAAATGCCTGATCTACGATTATGATGCTGATATAAACATTCAAAACAACCTGGGAAAGTCGCCAATTCAAATGGCGAATGCCCTCAAAGATGAACCAACGTAGATTGCGATCACTGGCTTATTAAACAAACTGCATACAAGCACCAAGGTAATCAAAAACCTGCAAGCCAGAAGAGAAAAAGAGGAGGACAGGCTGAGGCAAATAGAGGAAATCAACCGCTTAAGGAGACTTTTAAATGATAAGATTCAAGAAAGAGGGCTTGACCTAGCAAGAGTTTTCAAGATGTTCGATAAAAATGGGGATGAGGTGTTTTCACCTATGGAGTTCGAACTGGCATTCGTGGCGCTTGATATTGATATAAGCAAGGCTGATCTGAGGAGATTTATATCTCTCACTGATACTAATAAGGACGGCAGAGTGGACTTTAAGGAGTTCTATGCCATGCTTAATAAAGAGTCACAGGTAAATGACTTAGATAATATAGGCAAGGAAAGTGAAGTTGATTTTGATGCTTCGATTGAAGAAATTGAAGATAATTGAGAATAGTATTAACTTGCTTTTGATTATTGTAATTCTTATTTGATGATTGTTTTAGATACCAATTAATTATAAACATGGGGTTTTGGGGTTTTGGGGTTTTGGGG